AAGCTACCTTTCCCCCAGGTGGACTGACCTGAGATCTAGCTCTGGGCCCTTGGAGCAAAAATAATAAAAGGTAATTTTTTAGGACTTTGGTAGGAACTGAGACCCCCATTTGGGGAACATTTCTTGGAGATTGCTCTAAAGCTCCTTGCCTATTGCTTTTATTTCCTGAATTGCTTTTAACTGCCTTGAAAAAATATTTTTATCCTGGAATACTAGAATGTTTTTTTTTCTTTTTTTAAATTAATTTATTTTAATTTTCAGCATTCACTTCCATAAGCTTTTGAGTTTTAAATTTTCTCCCCCTCCCTCTTAGCCTCCCTCCCCAAGATGGTGTGCAATCTGATAGGCTGTACATATACATGGAATGGTTTTTAACGGATTGTTCATTTGAATCCTCAGGTCTGAGGAATTCTTTGCACCAGATGCCAGACTGCAGCTTGATCTGCTCCTTTCTGAGCCCCTCCCGTGAGCAGGAACGCACCACATCCCAAGGAGGTAACACCATTTGAGGATAGCTATAACTGTTAGGAAGTTCTTCCTTACATGGAACCAAAATCTGCCTCTCTGAAATTTCCACCCACTAGTCCCAGCTCATCCCACAGAGTCTTTGCAGAATGTCTAACCCCTCTTCCATACTAGCCCTTTGATAGTGCTTCAAGTATACGCAGAAATCAATTGACACCCCCCAAAAAATATCTTCTCTTCACCATTTGCCTCAACTTATACAGCACGACCATCTTCCTCTGGACATATTTGGGCTTATCTGTGACCCTACCCCAACTCCCAAAGCTAACATATCACTATGGATATGGTCTAGTCTGACCAGGGTCAATTTACAACAATGCTAGCCTTTCTAAACCTTACACTGTTCTTAATGCAACTTAAGAGGACACAGAGGGGAGGAGAAGGGGACAAGACACAGAGCAAGTCTCCCACCCATCCATAACTTGTTGCCCACAAACTTTCTCTTTTTAAACCCCCTCAGAAATTAGGTAGCTGCTAGAACCTCTCTGGGATCAGGAAATAAGAACAACTTAGGAGCTAAACAGATGGACAGGCAAAGAGAGAGAAGTCCACATTTCTGGCAGAGAAAGCCTTAAGCTCATCAAATATAAAACTCCAGCTCCAACCCCAATTCTCTACAGATTACAATCACCATCACACAACCTAGTGCTCAGACACAATCATAGGATTCAAAGTTAAAAGGGATTTTTATACAGATAGCAATGAGACTGCTTAAGGTCATCTATTTAGTAAGAAGAAAAGCAAGGGTGCAAGCTTAGGCCCTGTTGCTCTAAATCTACAAAGGTTGGGGAAGCAGCAAATTATCATGGCACCTGGGAGTGAGTGGGGAGTATTCAAGGGGAAAAAAAGTCAGCCCCAGGGAAAAAGGAAGAAGGTCAAAGGGGAAGTGGACAGGAACTCACCCTTCGTTGCAGGAGGCCTGGTTGAAGCGACAGGCAAAGATGAAATTACCCAGTGCGGCCTCATTGAGATCTTGGGAGTCCAGACGAGCTAGGATGTTGATAAAATGAAAGCGATACCACTCTCGGACAGCATCCACCCCTGAAGAATAGGTCTGGTAGAAGCAGTCTGATTTGTTCTTGTTACACTGAGACACAGGTACCAGAGAAGGGTTAGAAGAAGGGCAGAAGGGAGGTAGAAAAAGAAAAAAAGGCGGGTGGACTCAGGGACCAGGTAGGAAGTCCTTGGGTCTGAGACACTAGAGTGCTAATTAAAGAGATCAGGTAACCAGCGGTGGGGAGGGAAGGAAGAGGGCACAGAAAGAGAAAACAGAAGCCCGTGGCAGAAGCTCCAGGCCAGAAAATGGGGAACAGAATTAGTAGATCAGCCCAGGTGGCAGGGAAAGAGAGCATTTCATAGGGACAATGGGGTAAGGAAAGTCTGCAGGGGTGGGGAACCTGCAGCCTCGAGGCCACATGTGGCCCTCTAGGTCCTCAAGTTCAGCCCTTTGACTGAATCCAAACCTTACAGAACAAATTCCCTTAATAAAAGGATTTGTTCTGTAAAATTTGGACTCTGTCAAAAGGCCCCGCTGAGGACCTAGAAGGCCACATGCGGCCTCGAGGCTGCAGGTTCCCCACCCCTGGTTAGAGTATAGACAGAAGGAAATAATAATAGTTACTACTTAATCTATTTAATTGGTACAGCCTTTTTTTATTATTCAAATGTCTTTCTCCATTTATTTGATCACTTTTATTTCACGATAGTCCAGTTTTAAGTGGGGCAAAGAAGAAATGAGTTCTTTTTCCTACCTATAAATCAGGAAGGTCCCAACAGGTTGTTGTTGTTGTTAATTAATAATAAGTATTCGTATAGCACTTTGAGGTTTGCAAAGTGCTTTACAAATATCTTATTTGATCCTCACAACCACTCTGGGAGGTAAGTGCTATTATAATTCCCCACTTTACAGTGAGAAAACTGAGGCAAACAAAGGTTATCTGACTTAAGCTTCACATAGCTAGTTAAGTATCTCAGGGTTTGAACTCAGATCTTCCTAACTCTATATCCAGTCCTCTAGCCACTGTTCTACCTAGCTACTGTGATTTGTTCAAGGTCATAGTGAAACACTGTCAAAGCCAAGAATAGATCTGTTTGGAGCTATTTTCTTTAGACCAAATGCCTGAAATTTGTGGTCACTGGTACTTCCTGAAGTCACTGATGGTGATGACTATCACTCTCTCCTTTGTATACTTTTTTCTTTCTTTTCCTCTTATTCCTCTCTTTCTACTCTTTCTCATAGGCTTGTTACCTTGCCCCCAACCTGAACCTGACTTTGGGTGCGCAGGGCAGAGAAAGTGGCTGCCCCTGGTGTATAGTTCTCTAGAAAGGTCCTCCACCTTGGACTTGGGCTGGTCCCAAACCACACCAAAGTGGTTTCAGGAGGTCCATGAGCTTTGATAGGAAGAGAATCACATCTTTATTTCAATATAATTGCTTTCCTTTTAATCCTATGTATTTAGTTAATGAAATTAAAAAGATAATTCTGAGAAAGACAGTCTGGAGGCTTTACCAGACTGAACGCCAGAGACCCATGACACCCAAAAGCTGAAGAACCCCTACATTCCAGTCCACTCTTTCTTTATAAGGGGATTTTCCAAAGCAGATTTAAATCCATAATTCAAAGAGCCAAATGAATATTTTACAAACTGTAACTAAAACTACAGTTATTCACACAGGAAAAAGCAGCACAGATTTTGTTTTTTAACCAGTGGTCAGTGGGGTAGAAGGGCCAGGGAGGAGGCCCTAGCATCTGGTAGACTAGGGTGTTGATTGAAGAGGTCAGGAAGCCAGGAGAGCAGAGAGAAGAAAGAAAAGGAGAGAAAGATCCTATCACCAGACTAAAAACATATGAAACTAAACTTAGAGTAGGTGAAACTAAAAGAATAGATAGGAGATGCAAGTATGAGCAATTAAGGAGTACCAAGAAGCAGAATCCTAAGTAGTTATTTTTGCAGCTAGAGCAAGCAACATGAACTGTATGGAGTGGAGAAGCCCGGAGGAGCCCAGGGCTGCTCCTGGGAAGCATATGGGGATGGGACTGGCAGGAGCTTACCTTGGTTGTGGCTATCTGGGGGAGAAAGACCCTGGCACACTGAGAAGCCACTGCTGAGAAGGCCATCCAAAGGTAGGAAGACTTGGGATGGAGCTGGATATAAGCTCACCCGAGTTGCAGGAAGCTCCTATGGCTCCTATTAACTAGTAATTCTTGCTATCAAAATGCTTAGTTGTCCATTTCTATACTGCTGAAAGACTACAAATACTGTCAGCACTCTCTAAATTCTAGCACTCTGAAACAAAGTCCTGGTCACTATACCTTGTCATAACCCCACCAACAACAGTGGGCTGGGAAAGCCTATTCGTTCTTCAAGGGACATCTCAAATGTCTTTCTATTTCTCTAATGGGACAAATTATGTTCTGTAAGTTATTTGTGCAAGCATCTTGCATTCCTCTTAGGAATACAAATTATATTCTGCCTTGTATAAGCTACTTGTTCATGTGTCTTAGGTGATCTAAGAAGCACTTCCATCCCCAAATGGTTCAATGTCCCTCAAATGCTCTGCTATGGTTAGGGTCCTGAGTTTTATATTCATTTTTGTGTGTCCTGCAGCATCTAGTATAATGTCTTTCATATAATATATGCTCAATCAACATTTATTAGATAAATGAACAAATGAGTGACTGGGTAGGACCAAGAGATTGGACCTCACCAAGGAAAGAGACTGGAATAGAGAATTGGGGGGTAAAGTGGGGCAAAGAGACTTGGAAATGGGTGTATCCAGAGGAGTAGATGAAGACAAGAGTCTGAGCAGGGTCTTACCAAGATAAAGCCAATCTTCCAGTCATTCTTATCCACCTGAGGGTTGTTCTCCTGGACACCAGAGGCTCGGTGATGGTGGAAGGGCTGGGGGTCCTGAAGCTTAACTAAAGGATAGGGTAGGGTGTTCAGGAGCTCACGTCTGACTCGAGGCTTGTTGGAGGAGCTATGTGATGAGTGGTACTTGTAAAGGTTAAAGAGCGTCTGTTCTGTGATGTGATCCAGATCTTCCAGCTCCTCTTGGATCTTAGAGTACCTGGAGAAGACATAAGTTCCTTGTAGGAGGCCTGTCAAGAGACTACCAGTCTCTCACAAACAAAAAAAGGGGGTGGGGTGGGGATGGGCAGGACAGCTAGGTGGCACAGTACATAGAGCACTGGCCCTGGAGTCAGGAGAACCTGAGTTCAAATCTGGCCTCAGACACTTGACACTTACTAGCTGTGTGACCCTGGGTAAGTCACTTAATCCTAATTGCCCAGCCAAAAAAAAAAAAAAAAGACTACCAATGTTCCAAGGAAAGACAGGAAGTAAGTGAGAAGAGTCTCTCTGCTCATATTTACATGAATAGAGGTGATTCCTCTATTCTCAGAATCATAGAATGTTACAACTGGAAAGGAATGCAAGAATCATTTGGCCCCAGGGGTTCTTATCCTTATCTAAAGGGTTTATGGAAAGATTTCAGAGGTCCTTGAACTTGGATGGGAAAAAAAAAATTACATTTCTATTTTCACTAACCTCTAGCTGCAATTTATCATTTTCTTTGATTATAAATTCAGCTAACAATTTAGTAGAAGTCAAAAAGGTTAAGAACCTCTAATCAAGTCCAAATCTCTTATTTTACAGATGAAGAAACTGAGGTCCAGAGAGATATGGTGACTGCCAAAATCAGTGAGCTAGTAAGTGTCCAGACTGTGAATTTTGAACTCAACTATTCTTTCTCCAGTTCCATAGACTTCGTGGTCCTCTAGTTACCCTCAAAGTTTTCACACTGGGGGCTTAGGGAGCTGGGGGGGGTGGGTAGGGAAGAAGACAGAAGGCAAGCATGAAAGGTATATGTGTCTTCCAGGGATTGGAATATGGAAGCTGGCAAATTTTGTAATTAGTCAACCAACATTTATTGAACGGCTGTTTACCAAGAAAGTCTATCTGACTCCCTCCCACTGAGAGCTAGATTTCTCTAAATAGGCAACAATAAGGACGGCAATAGGCCATTTGCCCAGGGGTGTGTAGAGAAACATTTTCCTTCTCCTTCACTTTTTCCGGAGCCAGAAACAGAGATCCACAGGAGCCTGGAGTCCCTGAGCACTTTCCTATCATGAAACCAGTCTCTCTACACTGAGGTTTGTCTAAGCCTGAATATCTCATTTCAACAGTTTGTGGAGGTACTTAGGATGAAGGCTCTATTACTCCTATAACCCTAAGGAAAGAGCTAAAGTATTACATGTGTCATTAATTTATTATCAAGAGACTTCCTGTGACCCCATCACATCCGACAGCCCTGACCATTTCACTGCAGCTCTATCATCTGTAGGTGATAGGGATCTAGACCACGATCTGAATGACTTAATCCTTTCAGCTTGTGCTGCCCTGGTTGGTGAGTGTATCTCTCTACATCTAAGCTGGTTCCAGCTCATATTTGAAGTATTCCATGCTTCTTGATATCCAGGCTACAGTCTGCTTATCTCCCCTCCCTCTTTTGCCTTGGCTTTTTTCTAGCCCTAGAATCATAACCAAGTCAATATTCCCACTGCTACTGGAAATGGTGGGTTGATCTATTCTCCTTTTCAAACCAAAACATCCCTCCCAGGGCATCACTTCTGGGTGTGTGTGTGTGTGTGTGTGTGTGTGTGTGTGTGTGTGTGTGTGTGT